CAAGGAGAGGCGTGCAGGACCAGTTGGGTCATCACCAAGGGGAGCTGCAGTTGACAAGCGTCTGGTTTTCACTTCTTCCTCTGGAAAGCAGTGGTTATCATCCATGTCCAGCATACCATCCATCGCTCACAGCACCAGCATCCCAGAAAAGGCCTCGCTAAGAGTGAGTAACCAAGCTCTGCTGAAAACCTACTCTCTCTAAAAGGCTCTGTATTGATGGTATAGGAGAAACAAATCCCAACACCCCCCACCCCCCCAAAAAAAAAAAAAACCACAACAACCTTCAAAATAAGCTCTTGAGTCTTGAGTACCTCTGGCTGTTTGTCTCTATCCTGTAACACCACCAGCCAAACCTTAACATAAAGATGTTAATTCACAGGCAGACAATTTTCAGAAGTACGTACGTCTTGCAAATGATCAAGGTGATACCATCTCTACCTCACACATGACTGTGAGACTGAATGCTTTGCCACCCAGACTCTAGAAAAAAGCCAGATTACTATGAATTAAGAATAAGAGACTTTAATACATACATCCCCCTCAAATGAGATCAAAGAGTTATAGAGGGAGAAACAATTACAGCTACAGACAGTGACTAAAACTGGCGAGCACTAGAGATGAAGTTTTGGGAGATCAGCATCCCGGAATATCTTTAGAGACCTGAAGCAACAGTGATGTATGGCAGACAAAGGCCAGAAACATACTTATAAAAAGGCAAAATTTTGGCTACAGAATTCAGCAGTGGACAAAACAGCTGTGCAATTTCTGTTGAAAAGGTGGCATTTTATTCCAAGCCTGCCTGTACAAACACAGCATGAGCTCCCCACCTACACACTGTTACGAAAAGCCTTTGGTATCATTGCTCCTCTGTTGCTTCTCAGCCCCATCCGCCCCATAAGCTACAGCTGGATCCTTTAAGAGTTAATATGATGAGCAACATGAGACTGCTTAAAACAACCAGACAGTGACCAAGATAAAGATCTCAGGAAAATATAAATGGTGTGTCTGGTTTAATCATGTGCCAGGACTGCTGATGGTGTTTGAAGCTATTACAACGTTCACTCTGCACATAGACAGCAGTGACTGGCAGCAAGAGGCAGCCCAGCTGGCTGGCCAACAGTGAGGTAAGAAACCAGACAGTGCTTCTTTAATAAATGCAGGAGTTGTACAAGGGGCTTTCACCATCATCACCATTAAACCTTTGTGATAAATCAAGAAAGATGAGATTTAATCCTGCATAAATCTGCAGGCACTACGGGCTTTGCTGTCTGCATCAAATTCTCTTGCCCTACCCACAGGTAAATCAATCCTAAATATTAGGGGATCCCACATAAGCCGGAAACAACCAGGGCAGTTACTGAGAAGGGAAATCAATGTTGCCTCAGAGCTGATGCCCTGATGACAGGATGTCTTAAACACACAGCTCAAGTCGTCTGCGCAGCATCAAACAAGTGCAGTTCCCAAGAGAAAACTCTACGTTTCAGCTGCAGGCCCAGATATTAAGATTAGGGAGACACTTATAAAGCCTCCAAACCCATTTATTTCCTTCATCTTTTCTGTTTATACTCCCTTCTGCAACCTCTGCTGCTTCTCCTGTTAGTACCATGTTGCATTTTCTCACATTTACGTCTGCCATTCCTTCTACCAAAAACCAAATTCCTTAAAAAAAAAAAAAGCCAGTAAGTTTTAAACTTTTGCTTCACTTTCTTCCAGCGAAATTGACAGACAGTTACTATGGAATGTATTTATATCCTGTTAATAGTTTTGTCACCATTGAAAGAGAGAAGGTCTGTAGTGGCAGCACCATCATCCCCAAACTGCCAGAGCAGGAACTGTCCAGCAGCGAAGCACCGCCTGAGAAACTGCAGGGACCAGCTATGCACTGACATGAGAAAACCAGTGATGCTCCTGAACTTCTCAATTAATAGCCTCTTGCACAAGCTGTCCATTTTCTACGGAATGTATCAGTCAAACCTCCAAAGGCTGTTTAAATTAAAACAAATGCAGCTTTTGCAGACGATACCTGAGGCGATGCGAGTATTAGAATTAATGTCTATGTATACCAAAGAATTAAAATTTCCTAACTAGAAATCAAACAGGTTCCAATAAAGGGGAGGGGGGGTGGAAGAAATAAAAAAAAAAAAAAAGTAGGAAAACTGCCTCTCTCTCTATTTCCCCATGCCCACTACAAAACCAAACTCAAAGCATTCTGAAGTTCCAAAGCATTTCCATTTTATTCTCTGTTCTCAACCAGAAAACACATTTTCTCACGAACAACTGTAATTCTAGCAATTTGAGCTGTAATTGGGTAGCCTGCCTTGTACAAGATCAAGTTCTGAGCTACACGTATCCTCCAAACCATCTGAGATCCACTCATCTCAGTCACACAGTTATGAGGAAAGACAGGCTTTAATACTCAAATTCAGTAGCAGCAAGAAGAACAGTAGCTCCTGTCCTGAGAGGAAACCAAAACTAGGAAAGAAGCCATTGACACTTCTCAGTTACAAAACAATTTAACGAGTATTCCTGTCAGTTTATTTGCAGCTTGCAACTCTTTTAGTGCTCAGTTTCCCCGGGGTCTCCAACATCAAATCTGTCAAAAGAAACCACAGCAAGCTTGTACAGGTCTCGTTTTTTTTCATGACTTTTCTCAATCCTTCTGTTTTATGCCTCCAGCATGCTACAACTGCCTGTTGGTTAGACAATGTCATCCAGCAAGGCCTGGCACAAGCTTTCATTTAACTAACGTAACCTACGGAGCTCTGTTGTGTCCCATTTGTACCAGATGCCTTGTTACCGAGTAGGGTTTGTCAAGCTAGCACCTGAGGTCATGCACAAGTCCAAACAGCTTCTCTGTTCTTGATCCCAGGCAGTCCAGAACGGACATCCTTATATTACTGTATAAACCTATTTGTCACCAGGGATTCAAATGAATAATAAAGTGAACAGATTAAGGACGCAACTGCAAACAACTCGATTTGCTATGGAGGCGAATTCATTAGGTATACAGTAAATAAAACTAAAGAGGAAAGCCTAAGTGAAATACTTCATGTATTTTAAGCCCACATCTTTTATCACCCATTCCATCGCAAAATTACGCAATCAAGGAGATTTCCGGTTGGAGTTTGGAGAGTTTTTTTTTGGTTTTCAGGGTTTTGGTTTTTGTTTTACTAGCTGTTACTTAAGGATAGCAGTGAAAGATCATGACCCCATTTCCACTCCTCCAGAGTCTGCAGGGCTCTCTTTGATGTTTCTAATATCATGTAGCCTTGTGGATCATATCACCTTTCCCATGAAAGCACAGGGATTATCTTTCTCCACTACTCTGCATTCTCCCTTACACGAACAAACGACACTTCCTGCTATTCTTCCAACAGTGAAAAATAGCTACTTATATCATAGAGAAAGCCAGTAGCCTTGTTTGTTAACCAGCTTTTTTGCTTTAAGTTGTTGGCATTTTTAAACATTTCTCTTGCCTATAAAAATCAAATTTCCCAGGAATTTTCCAGAAAAATAGATCTTACCTTTGCATTCCCAACAGCAGCTAGAAATGCTACAGTAAATTAAATAGCTTCCTGGGCGTACGTAGCTCTTTAATAAATTCTGTGTAGTACCCAAATACTACAACAGGGTTAGCGTGAAAGAAATAATTATTGGGTTAAGATAGAAAGGCATATGGCTCCTTTTCATCCAAACTCAATACATTAAAGCCTAACCAGATGTGCTCATTTGAGAAAGACCAGAATTACTAAACTCACAGCCATATTTTCTAAGAAATGGTAATCTCATAGGTCTACATTTTCTTTAACGAGCTTTTCCACAGCAGAAAGCAAAGGTTGTTCTAGAAACAAAAAAATATGGAAGATACCTAGCCTCTTCCCAGAGATCCACACAACTTAACAGGACAGCGTTTCCTCCTTGGTGGTCCCTTTATTTATTTTATCTCTCAACAGCCATGCACAAAATGTTGATAAAGTCAAAGGATGAATTTTATCTCCCATTCTCACAGTTTTTAGGTACAAAGAAGCTTCCTGGAAAAGTTTATACATTTAGGGATGTTTGGACCTGCTGTATTCTCAAAACAAGACAGTGCCAAGTGATATCCATTGAATTTAGGTCACGCTTATCTATGGGAATATGTCCTTCAGTGAGGAAGATATGCAACTCATCACAAAACCATACTTCCCACTAGACTGATGATACAGATTAGTGCTTATAAGATATATGTGGTTTAAAAGATAAATCTCCTTCCTATATAATTTTAAAATACATTCTATAAATTTCTATAAAATTCTATAAAAGCTGAGAAGAAAACTATTGTGCTTACTTTGCAAACAGAATGGCACCTGGGTGACATTTCTTCAGCCAGACCCTGGATGAAGTTTGTCACAGGAAGAACAGACCCTTTCTATGCCCCAGCATGTCTGGAAAACACTCTCTGTGTCCCTAGGACACATGTGAAATAAAGTTATCTCACTGCTATTTTCAAGTCCAGATGAAATCCAGGGTGCTCTTCAAACCCATGAGCCCAACTGCCTCAGGACAGACCCCATGTTATCCTGCCATTCCCATGCAGATGGCATCACCAGCCCCTTATGTAGTCAGACCTTACACAAAACTAACCACTAAACCTGCTGCTCCTACCAAAAAAAAACCCAACTTTGCCTCCTTATTTTGAGTATAACAAGCGTAGCAACAGACTAAGTCAAAAGAAAGGAATCACCCGCAAACGTGCTTGATCAAAAGTAAATAAAATACATATTCCTGGCACCAGGTGTCGAAGGCCCAATGGTGCTCAGACTGACAAATCACACCAAGCAAGAAGTTCTGAGCTTCCACTCACAAAAATTTCATCCACCAGTCAGGAAAACAAAGAACATCTGAAGCCAAGCAGCACCACTTTAACTGATTGAATACATCTATATATATAAAAAAAAAATTTTAAAAAAGGAGCGGAATTGCAATGAGTCCAACGTGAGTAAGGACAGGAATGAACTGACCTTGACATACGCTAAGTAATGCTCACACTTTTCCTGCATGTATGACAGCTGCAACTTCTCTGTGATCTGCACCGCTGTCTCTCCAGAAGTCACAAAGTAAACTCTGGGTTGCTGGCTCTTTTCCTTCTTTGCCACATCAGCAGTCAAGTTATAATTCAAACCTGTTTTAAAAAGGAAGAAGAAGAAAACAAAGGATGTCAGTGAACAATAGTTATTTTCTAGCCACCTATCAATAGATCCTGTTGCCTCTGAGGCATGTGTGCTTGAAGAAAGGTCAACCCTTGCAGGCCCTCAATCAATCACTAAGCTTCCTGTGGCTGCACAAACCCAAATCCAATTACTAACGTACTCCCAGGTTTTGTGTCACGTTCCCCAGCCCATCCTTTCCCATAGGAAATGATGTGCAAATGTACATCTAGACACGCACACTTAATAAAAAAACCAAAAGATGCTTAAACTATGTTGCTGACATAAAAAACAAAAATACAACACAAACAACAACAGCAGCAGCCTCAAGCTTTGTTTTCCTTCTAGAACAGCAGAAACCATGCAAGTGTCAACCAGGATGTGGTACTTCCTGACAATTACTTTTGTTGATCTGCAGGCATCTTAGCAGTTAGACCTTAACTACAGGCCACTGCCTTGCACTCAGTATCCCCTTCTTAGATGTTACACATCCCTGGCAGTTTATACAAGAAATACCCAGAGACTAATGAGCTGTATCTCTGCAAATCCTTTTTCCTGCTGTTCTACAAGATAAGTAGCTTAACACAATCGGTTGATTGGTGAATGGATGAATCTGTGTCCAAGAGAAAACTTACTTGTTACCTGAAGTAGTTGTACCGTGACTGAATAATCCAAGCTGACTATACCTTTTCTTTTGGTAAAACAACAACAACAAGAGGAATGAAACTGCAGCAGAAGCACGAACACTTGTTTTGCTGCTTTCTACAGACAAGGAAAACACTGGCTGTGAGGTCTTTTCACTCATCACAGACCACGGCCTGCACTGATTTCAGCTGTTATCAAGGCAATAATGCGAATACCATGAGATTGGCTCACTATAAGTGGCTTAATTAGTTGATAATCTTCATAAATGACAGCCAGCATCAGCTCCTGTGCTGATTTGTTACATATGAAGGGTACTTGCCAAGTTATTGCTTTGGTTTTATTTATGTTTTAAGTCCTAAATGATTGATGCTAGATAATATGCTCCTCATAAATGTAAACATTTTTAAGCGGGAATTTTATACACAATCAATGTAAATGTAGCACATTCCTGGACTGAGGTCTTCTATACCAAATTTCAGCAAGGCGTCTTTGCTGGGGTTTGTTGGGTTTTGATTTGTTTTTGTGGTGGTGGCTTTTTTTAAAATCAATGAAAATCCTCATCTCTCTAAATTAACACTGATGCTAATGCTATCACCTCCAACTGTTTCTCCACCAAAATTTCACTACTTTGAAGAATTTATTTAATGATATTGTAAAACTTGGTGCAAAAGTCTCTCATAATAATTCAAACTGAACTCACTTCCATTTGCAGTGTGTTGCATTCTGATGAAAAGCTCACTCACAAGTTCATGCAAAGTAACCAGAGATATACGCTAAGTAGTAAGAAAAGCCACAGCTGAGGAATCAGCCTAACTACCATCATAGGGCTCCACCTGAACTTTTTTGCTTGCTTTTGGCAGAATATCTTGCTTAGAAGGATAATTCCTTGAAAGTATTTCAAATTCTGACAAGCTCAGCACCAAAACCTCTCACTGAAGTGGTGGTTGGTCAGTCCCACCAAAGAGCAGCACTTAAACAGAAACACAGGGTTTAGCCTGTTTTAGCCTGTTCAGCCAGCAGTCTCTTTCTTAACTTTTTTTTTTTTCTTTTTTAAAGTGTGCACATCCCACACCCATCCCCAATTGTCTCCCTTCCGCTTTCAAGACCTCACATGCATGCTCGCATGCTGAGATCTGCACCGGTGTCAAAGACAAAAATCCCGTTAGCAAAGCCAGGCCCTGCGTAGGCAGAGGCAAAAAGCCCCATGGGGAGACACAGTCCTCTTCAAAGGAGAAACACCAAAGGAAGGCAGGGCTGCATAGCTTGCAGCGGTGCCTGGGGAGGCTCTCCGAAGGAAGCACAGTGTATTACTAACACTGAACAATTCTTCGCTGCAGGCGCGGAGACGCATCCCAAGGCAAGCCCTGTACCAGGCCTCCAAGCAAAGCGATCCCAGCTACCGTGGCTCTGAAACGGCAGTGGATGTTTTCAATCAAGCCGCACAGTTCCCATCCTCCTCCCCCCCCGCCGCCTCCCCTTTATTTTGACAACTTGTTTCTATGTTATATCCAATGATGTCACATCAGTGGAAAAACTGAAATATCATGAGTAAGGTGGTTTTCTTTTTCCCTCCCCAGCTTCATTGCTTCCAGAAAGCAACCAGGGTGGGGAGATAACTGGCCAAACTTAGCACTGCTGGTGGTGTAAGTTCCTCCTGCTCACTCCAGTAGGAGACTTGGAGGCAAGTTTTCGCTAGCAAATTAACTCGTGCAGGTAATGCCTTCAAATATTTGTCCAGCAGCTTTAAGCAGGTCTGGTTAGAAATGTTTCTGGGGATCTGCCCATCCCAACTTCACATAATCAAAACAAAACTCTGGCATGGCTTTGGTAAGCTCAGATCAAGGGCTTGATTTTTCTAATGACTATTCCTTTTCCATAACTAAAGTTAAATGCCTGAAAGCTTTCATAACAGCTCACTGAGAAATTTTTGGTCATACCTGCCAGCCAGCAGACCAGGCAAGTCCAGCCAGTAACAGACAAACCAAGTAAATGGCAGAAGGCATTTTATAATCGATTTTCATCCTAAGTGGAACATACGTACTCATGATGCAGGACTCACAAGGCTGCAGTCAGCCCTGAAGCACAGAGGAGTGAGGAGGGATTGGAATCGGGCAGCGGTATCCTGTGAGCTAAAACAGGAATAGCAGCTGGCTGTGCTAATGGAGGGGTTATACACCCTAAGACACCCAGCACATCCCTTTGTCACCCACTCAGATGATGCTACACAAAAAGCAGATGGCAAAATGCTCAGATAAACTACTAGCTATAGTATTGATTTGCCGGGAATGGGGGGGTGGGGATGGGGGTGTACCACATGGAGAAAATTAGTAACTTACTAAATAATAAGAGAAAGCCATCAGAAGATAAATGCATTCCTTAGCCTCCTCTAAGTAATTATGAGGCGAAAATGATCCATGAAATTTGCTTGCAGACAAAATTCTTAAGTAACGAAACTATTAAATAAAGATTGCCCTAGCAAATGACAACATACATAGGACATTCCTCCCATCTTCTCCTCTTACTTCAAACTTTGTTTCAAATCCTTTCTCATAGTGTTGTCCCTAGCTTCCAAGTAGGGAGCCATCCTCACTGCTCCAGGCATACCCTGAACAACATATCCCTACAGCATCCCTGCTTCTGAGACATTCAGAGGGTAGCACTATCTTAGGCCCACATCCAAGCGGACTGGAAAAATGAAAGACAGACAGAAATAACACTCTTGCACCAAACTACAGCAGGATACAGATAAGAATTGTCCACTTCTGTCAGGTTTTGGACCAGGCATGTTTCATCAGTCCTAGAAATGTATCCAAACAGAGGAAAATGTCAAGGGACCCGTTATCCCACATTAAATCTCACACCAGCCTTCCAGGCAACAGTATTTGGGACATGAAGGCTACCCTAGAAACCTAACCTAGCACACAAGCAAGGCATACAAGCAAGGCACACCTGAAGTGAATAGTACACGAGAAACTTTGAAGACGTTTCTAACACATCTGCCTAACTCTAGGCCAATGCCCAAACCCCTTCATTTCATAGTCACTTAAAATTCACCTAATTCTTACACTGGCACTATTATTACTACTATTGTTGCTGTTGTTGCGGAAATTATCCAGACACATGGAAATAAACACCAGTTTATTTCCATTCTCCTGCGGGGATGAATGCAGAAGCAGCGCTTGATGCACAGAGATGCCAGCAGCCTCTATTTTCTTGTCCTGGTCACCCAGAACTGCATGATCTGAACAGGCTGAAGTCTGCTCATCCAGGCTAGGAAAGGCCTTTCTGTCATTCCTGCCTTTCCTGCAGATACAGACATCCCAGGAGAGACAAAGCAACCGCCCCTCAAGTGAGGGAGGAACAGTCTGAGTGAGATTCTGAGGTGAAAGAGGGAAAACTTAAAATGACATATTTCTCACACATTCAAGAGGTACCAGAGGCTGTCTCTATCAGTGGGCATACAACTAGATGTTCAGCTCTCCAGCAAGCGTGGAGGCAGAGCGAAGGGTCAGACAATGCCTGGCACACAGTGCAGAGCACATGCTTCACTTGGGCATGGCTCTTTGTTCAGACGAAACCATTTCAGTAATAAATTCATACTTCTGAAAACCATAGCCTGCATACAGTATCCACAAAATGGATGGGAATTACACTGTCATTGGCAGTATCAAGCAGTTTCAATAAACACAGATCCTCAAAAAAAAAAGAAAGGAGGGTGGGGAAGGTTTATATGCAAGTGTGAGGCAGTGCTAGATGAAGACAACTTTGCTTCACATGCCAGTTAACAAAACAACCACACTTTCAAATAAGCATTGAAGACACATTTGCCGCAGAAGAATGCTGCCTGCATGTTCAGCTTGACTTTCTAAACATTGTGTAGTAGGTGACCAACTTCAGCCACCCAAAAGCAAGAGCAACACCCAGCTTTTCACCAGTAAGCAGCAGTCTTGAGCGTCTGTGCTGACAAGCCTTAGGGGAGTGGTGTTCCCGGTCAGCACTGTGTTCTCTTCATCTGACTTAACAGACTGCCCCCAGACATCCAAAGATGAGATGAACCCAACCCTTTTAGCCACAAAACTTTGACATAGCATTTCAACAACTCCATATGCCTTTCAGCGTCCAAACTGGATAATGATGTACTTACAGGGATGTTCTATTTTTCTCCCCCTACATTTAACCATGCAGGAGAGGAACCATTGCAATATTGCCATGAATTGTTCCACCCTTTGTTAACTGATACTCTTGAATTGCAACATAATTAAAATGGCCTGACTGTTGTTAGATTACAAACTGAAAGCTTATTTGAGATATTTTATCCAAATCATACTCCCAAGGGGTTTTATACAGTCAGATAGATCTGGCTGCAATGTTTTCAAGACAAATCACTTTGCTAGAAGCATTGTATAAATGGACAATGGTTGGAAGTTTTATAATCATCTACTTAATAGTAAAAAAATTCCTTGTAATGAGCTGGATGTTACTTGCCAAAGAAGATGCACATGTGCTTTCACCACAATACATAGTCGGGAGTACAGTTTGTATGACAACACAGAGGAATTCAACTGGCTCTTGGAAGACATGATGAAGCAGGAAGATAGATCTTTTGCAAACAAGGGGAACAGATATTTAGATGGAAAAAAAAAAAAAAAAGGCAGCTCACATCTTAGCCACAGGTCCAGAGATATGAAATTAAAGCAAAAGAAACATTTTAAACAGTACCCCGAGGAACATAAGAAAACCTAGATATTCAGAAAATCTATTCACTGATTTTCAGAAAGGAATTAACACCCCTGGAGGACTTGGAGATAAGTGTTTTCTTAACTGACAGAGTAGCAGCCATTACAAAAAATACTTTATCAAAGCATGTATTCATCTGCTGAGTCATCATTTACAGGGAAAGAAAAAGTGAAAAAATAGAAACTGAAGTCTGAGTTGCACCAACATGTTAGAATCCAGAGGGATCTTAAATTTCACTTTTCTGAGCTGTTCAGGTGACAAAGTGACAAGCTGCAGAGAGCAACTTCAACAAGCAGCTTATAGTTCTCACACCATGTGAATGGCAAGAGAAGAAGCAAGAAGCCTTTTCCTTCTCTGACTCATTTAAAATCCAAATACTGCAGCAAGTTCTGCATACTGGGATGCATAGATGCACCTCTCACCCTTCTCCATTAGTGGTTCAGAAAGGCTGGGGCACAGAGCACGAGGCACTGCTTCCTCCAGCTCCTCACCAGACCACTGCAGAGACGCAGCACATGGTGAGGCTGAGGTATCTTCCCTGAGCAGCACACTGCAAGTCCTCTGCCATTCCTAAAGCATGGGGAAGGTAAAACATCGTGGCTGAACCAAACAAACCCAGACCTTACAGTATTTAGAAACCCTGTATCTATCCCATACCACTTCACATGATACCTAAGACTTGTAAACATTGGGATGTAAAAGACGTAATATTTTAATGCAGCCAAGATGTCAAGGCTTGCACAATTACACAACGTACACAATTCCATTCACCCAAGAAATTCCATGTGTTTTACAGAGACCAACTAACCTGAAAGATATGCATAGAATCATAGAATGGTTTAGGTTGGAAGAGACCTTAAAGATCATATAGTTCCAACCCCCCTGCCACGGACAAGGACACCTCCCACTAGACCTGGTCACTCAAAGCCCCACCCAACCTGGCCTTCAACACTTCCAGCGATGGTCTTGCAATCAGTAAAATACTGGACTATTTATAACCATTTTACAGACAGGTAAACTGATGCATAGAAAAGGATTTGCTCATGTCTGGTAGGAATTTAGATTTATAGGGCTCTGTTTCAAGAGCTCCTTGTAGACTTTCAAAAACTATTAATCCAGAGCAAATCACACCTGCTTTCTGATAACATTGATAGAGGATATGGATACAGAAATGTGTTATCAAAAGGCAAACAGGGAATGTGAACTTACAAAGCATCAATTGCTTCTGTGTTCTCTGTCCTTGCAGTGAGCCCAAGGACACATTTCCCTCCTTTCACTGAGGGAGAAAGTGCCTCAGTTTTATGTCAATCTCATCAGAAGGTAAAAACATGCCCAGGCAGCCTCCAACTTTCTGGAACTGTATAGCCCAGCTCACCTCAAAACGACTCATTTCGCGTAAAAGCTCTGTTACTGACTCCAAAGGGAGCCCTTGACTCCAGTTCAACCTGCTAGCGTGCCCCTGCCCAGGGCTGGCGCAGGTACCTTACCTATTTCTCCAGGAACACGCTTGCCACTGAAGCGAAAGCATGCTGTGACATTGAGGCAGTTCACCGGCTGCAAGCCATCATGGCACTGAGGAGCTGTGATGTTGATGGACACGGGCAAGAAAATGGAGATGTCCATGGTAATGACAGGCCTGGATCTGGAGATCAACAGAGAAGTGGAATTTGAGTGATCATTCAGAGGGAAATTCTCAGCCAAAGGAAAATAAAGTAAATTTGATAAACTGCGCAATTTCAAGCAGACGTGAAAAATAGGAGAGTGCATTTAAACTGTAAGATAAATTAACACTTGACCTAGCTGGCAAAGACTACTTGTGTCTGAATTAAAACCATAGCATCAACTTGAAGTTCAGGGCTGATACAGACTGCAGGCAGGCAGCTGGGGAAACTGATAATAAGAATAATCATCTTCAGCAAAGGTTGCAGAAAGGCTTCCTGATGACTGAAGAGGGTAACAAAATTAGCACAATGGCAACCAAGGAGAACCAGCTCATGCAAGTGAGACAGCTTCTTAAGCAGTCTGGATGGTCAGGAACAGGTAGGCAGAGACTTTAGGTTTCTAGAGAATGGTCTACAGTCAAATCTGTGACCTGAAAATCAAGGAGGAAGCACGGGGGTAGGAGATGAATTTGTACATAATTTTTCTGACAGTATAAGAGGGACAACAGACACCACATTCATGTTTTCCGGAGGAGGGAATGTTTGGCTAATTCCCTCCCTGAAAGTGGTAAGGATTGAATACTCTTTTCATGCTGCTGAGCTCTGTTTCAGGAGTTACTCAGTGCACTGTGAACAAAAGCTTTCTACCCTTGCCAACTCCAGCACCAGATATTGATTATGACTATTCCTGGTTGAAGGAGACCTCGGCCAGAATCACAGAGCAAGCATCAGGGATCAGGTGGGTCTCCTCTCACACACAACACAGAAGCCCCGCCAACTTGATTGGGAAAAGCAGCCCAGAAACCCAGGCTCTCCTGAGCCGTCCCCAGTATAGGACTCCAGCCCAAAAATTCACCGAGTGTTATTCGTCGTGGTTTCAATTCTGTACATGTTCAACATGAACATGTTCTTCCAAAAATAACTCTAATAATAAAAAAAATGTGCAGCTACCAGCAGATTGACTTCTAAGGTAGTCCCAGAAGTCGTGCAAGGCCAGACCACATAAGCAAACCACTTCAGGACTCTCACTCCACAAGCCACTTAATTTAGAGGTGGGGGAGAGGAGGGAGAAGAGAGAGGGGATTGTGGTTACACCTAATTCATATCAACTGGAACAAGCTTCGCATCAATTTCCAAGACAGCTGCTCATACTCTTTCACCACAGCCTGAAATAACAGTGCAAGTTCGCCTTTTGAGATGGAGAATGAAGATAAATGCTAACTCTAGAAATATATACAGTAATGGGGGGAAGAAGGAGGAAAAAGAGTGAGCTTATGAAGATCATTTCACACCTTGGAAAAAAAACTCTTTCCAAATGCTTGAGGAAGCATGAAAGAGTAAATGCTATAATTGACCTAGAAAAATATTTCTCCTAGAAAAAAAAAATACTTCTCCAGCCATGATGCACTGTGTGATTTTTCCTTAACATTAGCTCCTTTGGTTATTCACTGGGGAAAAAAAAAACACAACAATGCATCTGTCAAACAGCCATACACACACACGAGCAATACAGCAATGACAATCTGCCTCAAGTCACCACGGCTTCCACCAAAGCCTTTAATATCACTTGGCAAAACATTTGTTGGTTTTGGCCAAAGGACTTCATGAAGGCTTCTGGAGGGGGGAGGGAGGAAAAAAAAAAAAAAAAAAAAAAAGCTGATTTCTTTATCCTAATCTGAATCTAAACAGCAAGAGGGACACGCTGTAAATTAGCAGTAGCAGCAATTAATCAGGCTGCCCATAAAGCCAGCTGGTAATGCACTAATCTCCTCCGAAACACACAGTGACTGAACGCGTGGATGGAGGTCACCATGGTGTTGCAATGTATGTTGTTTCAAACATCACAGCAAGCCTTTCAGATTGCCGTTCCCTACCCTGCAAGTAACAACAATGCAGAAGAAAAATGCACAGTTTTCTTTCTAGTAGGTTTGGAGATGAGGGACTGTGAGATTCTATCTAGGGCATGGCACACCTTTTCACAGAAGCAGCAATTGGCATCTTCTGCGAGCACGATGAAGGAGCAGAAAACTCTTCAGAAGACTTGACTACCTGGCTGATCATCAAGAGCATTTCTTCTCCCCTTTTCCTTTTTCTTTTTGTTTTGTTTAACTGATTCAAATGGAAACAGAGCCAAGTTTTTCCTGCCTTGAACAGGAAGCAGGCTGGCGTGTCTGTTCTGCAGCTCCACCATTTGTCTTGCCAGTCTCACCACATCCCTGCATCTTCCATTAAGATGCAGGAGTCCCTAGTGACTACTTCTAATGACATCTAGGTATTGACAGGATTTTTCTATTAAATATTAACAAGTGTAACAACTGAGCTACTGGCAAAATTTGAACTTCCCATTCTCTTCCCCAGGTCTGTGCATCTCAAGCCTGCTTCTACTCTAACTCTCCACCTGCATAATTTGGTGGACCAAGCTGTCACACCTCTTTCCATCAGATGAAACAAGCAATTGCACTTAATTCATACACTTGAAACAGCAACCCAAATCCTGTGTGCATTGCAAACATATCCGTATTTCATTTCCCTGAAGACTCTTATTTCATTCTGTGTCCCATTATAACTTGCAAAATTACATCCTGGCATCGTACGCAGCTGGCTTTTTGCTCAACTGCATTCCCTTAAATCATAATTTATTTACTTTATGCAAATGTAAGAACAATAAAAAAAGCCATCTCATAAATTCAGAGCAATGTTTTTAGAAAAGGCATTAAGACACAACACATCTCCTTCCGGCTCTAACTCTTTGTTTTGTTCACAGCCCCAGGAGTCCTATGTATTGTCATCCCTCACTACACTGTTTAGATTGTGCATTCTTTGACACTACATATGTCTAAGGTTCTGCTTAAAAGGTAATCCAGCTTGCTTCTTCTGACCACAATAAACTAGGAAGAAAATCAGAGTGGTGGAGGACTCAGACCACATAAGATATAAACAAAAAACAGACACAAAAATAAGACAACAGCGGATGAAAAAAAACTTTGATCTCACCTCAGAAGTACCACATTGTCTGACAAGAAGGCTCCAACAGTCATATCTGAAATTTTGTAACATTGAGACAGTTACAAAGGAGGCACAGAATTCAGTTCTTTCAAGCCAGTTGGTAAATTACGGAGCATATATCTAAAAAAAAGTTTTTTGACTTAAATCAGCCAGCTAGTCCCTTCAAATATCATTATGTCAGAAGTATTATAACTGAAGGACTATGTTTGTGACATTATTTCACTTCTACTTCATTGTTTGGTTTTTATTATTACTATCACATTACTGTTTACATTTATTTTTTTTTTTTTTTTTTAAGATTGTCATCATGACTGGGCAGCTTCCAGGCAACTTACAACCTTGGCCACAATCTGAAATCCTTTGTTTTAATATCTCAGTCTTTCATCATGATTGTCCAAACATCTGAATCAAGCAATTGGCTCAAATTCTTATCAGGAGCTTCAAATAATGGAGGGAAAAGTGAAGAAAATGCTCAGCTTCATCGGCCTCCCGCAATTGCAGGAACCATCAACCTGGAAACGACCAGCTTTGCTGTTTTTTCAGCCTGCTGCTGCATTTTCCTAGTGCTCTCACTGCCAGAATAGCAGACATACCTGGATAACCATTGCCATCCATATCAACTCCCCCTGATATGGATTGGCCGAACATCCGCAGCATGGGGTTTATTGTTTGCCCAGACAGCTTCTGCAGTGGAAAACACACAAGTGAAATCAGTCAGTAACACAAAGAAACCTCAAAAAAGAAAACCCTTCAGGCCTGATTTTCATGGTCACCGGGGCTCTTTTCCGTGGGCTGGGAGTGCCGCACATCTGCAGGCTCACACTTCACCCACGCAGCCTGGAGCAGGAAGGCTGCTGACTGCAGGAAGCCCTTCTGCTCTGGGCTAAGAGGAGGCCAGTGTTGACTTGGATTAAAAAACACACCTGCATTACAACCCTCATGCAGACTCAACCAAAATAAAGAACACATCAAACAGATTTCTCAGGGAGGGGGAGGAAATTTAATTGCACCCTAGAGATTTTCCCCTTTTTTTTTTTTTCATTACTTTTATTTCTTTAAATAAAATTTTTAAGCAGCATCTTAACAAAATTAATGATTAATTGAAACAGAAAATCCTGCACAACCATTCCTTCTCACAAAGTTTGCCAGCACATCCAAAGTCAAAATGATTAATTTTCATCCCGCTTGGAAATTCTGGTTTCCATCAGCTATTATGCAGTATTTTGTGTCAGTTTGGAAGCTGTATCTCATTTCTGCCTCCCCAACACAAAGATTAATTAACTTCTAACGTAGCTTCTCTTTTTTTAATTACTAACACAAAAACTTTCTCTAAACGTTTTGAATTGTAAATGCCTTTGTCTGAAGCAAATTAATATATCAAAATCTCATTTTCTAAGAAGGCAATCAGATGTTTCCCAGCTCTCATTCATTATGCTGGGCCACCAAGGCAAGACCTGAACTCAAACCAACCTCTGACTGCAGAAGTTACAGAGGAAACCTATCCCATGAAGTAATTTCAAGGCTATTGGTGGTGCTTCACAGCTTGTGACATGCGACCAGCTCTTCCTGGCCCTCCCATAAAAGGACATAATATTGTACAAAAGGTCAGACAGGAAATTCATGGGAAAAAAGACAAGTTGAAGGGAAGAAAGATATCCTGCAGTCCTGACAGCCGGTTTAAAGAGAAACCAGTGCTGTGCTGTGTACAGATCTCCTTTTCCTACTTGTGGGCAGATAAGATTAAGACAACTGGAAGTAACTTCCTCCCCACGTTACACTTACATCACATTTTTGGGGGGTTCCAGTTAGGGTGATAAATCCCGCCTGCAAACATCCCAGTGGACATCTGTAGGCTATTACGGCCTAGAAGGCAGAGGTATAACGCTGCTCTGCTTTTAAGTGCCATGAATGAAAACAGCAGGCCACAAAGCCAATTAAGCTGCTTCTGCTCATAGCCACCACTAAAGCTGCTGAAGGGACATGAGGGAACAACACTGATCAGCAATTTAAATGAAGAAAAGGCGGGGGGGGGAGCTAACAAAATGAAAAGGGTGAAAACACATACCCTGCAGGCCCTGCCTCCACCTCTCAGCTTATTTAAAAAAGGAAATCCAGGGCATTAAGATGGCTCAGGGGTATAGTAATAAGATACAAAAAGTCTTTCACCTCTGAGTTCAAATCCAGGGCAGGTAGGTAGAGCTGAAGTTGTTCCACAGCTTTTTTGGTTGCACATGGGGGACAAACCAGTGATGTGTCTGGTGCCCTGCAGCAGACACTGGGAAACAGCACAGAGACGCTGCCCATAAATGGTGGCCGCTTGGCTACCTTAGGACATGGGGCAACGACAGGAATGGTATCAAGAGTCAATGACTGTGATACCTTGCCACGCTCTCAAGCTGGGCTTTGTCCCACTGACCAAGCGGAGAGGCACATGCTACGTCTGCTGGCCTTGCTCCAATGGGGAGGGAGAGATCACAAGCACGATGTTTTTCGCTTCCCACCCTGCTGATCTGGCCTCTTTCAAAAATGTAAAATTTTCCCATGAATGACCAAAAAAAAAAAAAAAATCTGATCCGTTTCAGCAAGAGCTGGAAATCTCCAGGCTTCTCAAGAGCCAGAGAAGAACCTCCCAGCCAGTGGCCCTCAGCAAGAAACGGGCAGAATCCTCCACATGCCACACATTAGTGCACTTTAGAAGTATCCATAAAGAGTCATTTAACTTCCTTTTTTCTAAAAAGCAGAGCATGGCATATACGTGGTAAAAGGAAGAAGGACTAAACTTCTACGGTCTGTCAGAAGAGTCTCCAATATAACCACTAAACTCTTTAATTCTGCTTAAACTGATTTACTGTGAAGGATCCCACCCAGCAACAAAACAAAACAACCAGAACTTCAAACACACAGAGGGAGGGAAGATTCAGGCTCTCTGAAAAAAGAAATGGGCTAGACAGAGACTAGGGGACACATGTTGAGCAGCTCCAGCATAAATTAATCTTCTCTATTGCCTGGCTACAGTAGCTAAATTGCACTGTGTCATCTCTGCACAAGATGCTACAGCACATCCCAGCCAAGATACTACTTTATAATAACGGTCAGGGTAATGGTACCCAAGAACAGCCTTACGATATATTGTCACATGGCAAGGAGAGGGCCAACAAGATGGGTAAAGAGGCTTCCATGGGGCACAAAAGAAAACTTAGTACCTCTTCTTTCTCATTAAACCTGCTTCCGCAGGAAGAAAGTGCAACCTCCCAGCTCCCCACTGGCCTCTCCATAATTTGTATCAGCCTCTCCATGGTTTTTATTTCTCCTCTGCAGCATTACTGTCTCTAAAAACTGACATTCAAACCCCAAGACTTTGTTTGCTTCAAGAAGGAAGCTATAGCTGATAACTGTAACAGAAGACAGTGCAAAATATCTCCTGACTAACATAATTGTACCCTACAGCATAGATACGGAGAAACTTTGAGAGAAGCCATCTTCAAACCAGGGCTGAGAAAAGGATGTAGAGCTATGATGAGTCTACCTATAAAGGGACTGCTAAGTATGGTTTATTTCTGCAGGCCCTGGGAAAGCAACTTCAGATAGGTATGGTAAACGATAGTGTCACATACCATAGAGTACTGAGGTACAATACCACTGGCGTCCCCATGGTAAATGTACACTGCTCCTATGTAGTTATCCTCCTGAGGCGCTCCAATGGCAACATCTGTAAAACAGCACAGGTTATAAACATTTCACAATCCATGCCATTAATCCAACTTTTTCCCAATTTTAGAAGCCAGCTATCCATAGGAAAATAGCTCCCCAAGACAAAGATGATCGGCAGCTTATGTGAACGTGACTAGAAGGAACTTGATTGATTTAATAAAGAGCTCATGTTAAGATAAACTTAAAAAAATACACAAATGTATATGAATTTGTACATGCATGTGGCTATGTTGTGCCTAATTAGAAACATGTGCCTGTTATGAAAATATGTGTTTGTTAACCAGCAGCCATGCTCAAAAATTTAATTTAGAATTCTTTCATATCAAAACCTCCAACCCAGGGAAACATCAGCTTTGTGAACCAAGACAGCATTGACAAAACATTTATTGTAGCACTACATTAAGTTTGCTTGAAAATCCAAGGCTCCAAAATGAGACTGGGTATATTAAATGGATAGGCAGGAAGAAAAAAAGGCTGCTGAGGGTACACTTTCAAATTACATTTGATCCAATTTAACTGCAAACTGCTGCAGAAAGAGTGATCCTACCTCCCATTCTCCTCTCCTAGTTGGATCTAGTGACTACACAGCTGCTAAAATTAAACTCTTCCCAACAGCTTCATACCCACAGGCTGATCCAACTCACTCTGCAGCCTCACCATCACCACAACTGACCCACAAACAGCAGCAAGAACACACAAATGCACGTCCAAGTGCAGAGGAAGAGCATGCCCACCTCAGGGCAACCTGCAATGAGGTTGGATTAGACTTAATGGGATACTGCACCCGGAGTGGCCTGGAAGAAATAAATCCAGGCATACACTGAGTAAGTCAGCCTTTGTTAGGAAGTCTATAATCTTCACTGCCAGAAATCAGGGCAGAAAAGGTGCCAGCATCAACACCTCACATTCACCTAGTACTATCACAGCATGAGGCCTCACACTGAGTGGCCTGTGAAAGGAGCAGGGGTAGAATAAAGCAAAGGAGACAAATTATTAATAGAGTACATGCTACCAGGAGTGAGAAGCTACTTCTTCATTACACTTCATGATAAGAAAAGTGATTATGTCAACAAAACTGGAAAGGCCTGAAGACATAAGGAAATGGGAAAGAAGAAAGAGGTCAGCCACAGGTTTCTGTTTTGTTCAGGGCGTAGGTAACTAAAGCCTTTTATAAACCATACAGGGAAGAAGAAAATGCAACAGCACAGAAAGCAAAGCAATGTTAATGAGACTGGAGTGCGAGTTGCGTGGACATGGACTAAACCTACATCAAAGACCATCAGCTACAAAAGGCTTTAGCAGACAAATCCTACGTGAGCCCATTTATACTTAGCGCAAGCCCAGGTGCTGGTCGGGTCCGGAGGAGCAATGGATGCCATGCAACACCCAGCCATGTGACAGACTGGCAGTGCCACCAGCCCTGTGGGCATTTCCAGGGAAATGGCCCAGGAGAAAATTGCACCGACCTGGGAAGCCATCATCATCGATGTCGCTGAGGGCGGCCATGCTCTCTCCAAAGTGTGCATTGTAGGCACCGTCACCGTCCAGGACAAGCTGCTCTTCCAGCACTCCCTAGCAAGTAGGAAATAAAACAGGGTCAGGGAAATAGTGCGAATCCTGGACGAGGTGAGCTCTCCCCGTGGGAACTGCCCATGGCCTGCGGGAAGCACCTGGGGCAGGGCTGCAGGCTGCCTCTTGCCCTCACTGCACATGGATCACCAGGGCACCAAAAATCTAATTAATTTACTATTATTATTGTCTTATTATTTATTTGGGGTTTTTAACCATCTTCTTGTTTTAGATTTAGGGGGGGAGGGGTCAGTGTAAGAGTGATATAACTAAAATGCTAAACAATAACTTAGTGATGTAACTAAATGTAGTCACAGGGCTTGGTGAGCTCATGAAGATTTCCAGATGCCTAAAATATAACAGCCCAGAGCTTGCTCTACTGGCAGATTACATCCGAGGAGTGAAATCCTCAGTCCAGGCTTACTCAGCTAAACCCCAGTGAGTTAAGGAGAATTTTCCCCTAAGCAAAGAACATTTGAGCAATTGGATTTGAAAACTTTTTAAGTATTGGACAGAAAGATTAAAGCAAAGTCCCCAAAAAGCCTTCTGAAATGAAGAATAAGGAAAGGAACTTAATGCAATAAAGAGACAGAGGAAAGTTCAGAATAAAGTAGCTTTGTACTCCTGTGCCATGAGAAGCCTTATATGGATCTGGTATTTCTTGCCCACCCACTTTCTGGTCAGATACATAAGCCTTAGTTTCTTGCAGTCTTCCCTCAAGGGGAAAGGAACATTTCCACAAGAAAACAAAATTTAGTTACGCAATCCAACTCTGTACCCACCTCAAGGGTTGTTTTGTTTTGTTTTTGCTTCCTTTGTGAATGAGAGTAAACTGCCCTCTGGAACATGTAATAAAATCTTTTTCTTGGCTGCGGGGAGTTGCTGACTTTAAGAAAATCCCACATAATGAAATTGAAAGACAACAGAGAGGAGACAGGCAGGCCTGTATGTGCGACTCATTTCTTTGCAGTCCTCACAGGAAAGGGCAAAATAGAAGCATATTAAATCTAGCATCACTATGCATGCTTGTATTATAATGCAGTCTTCTCTTATCTGCTGCCACAACCTCTAAAGCAATGGTGTTTGCAGAATGAAACAGAGTTTAAAATGTCCAAACCCCAAAATAAAATCCACAATCCTGACAGCCATTGCTCTTGCAAGCAATATTTGCTGCAGGAGTATAAGAAACTCCTACTAGCTTCTTGATTGTTTTATAAAACGTAAAAATTAACTCATGGACGCTCTCACTGTGAGCAGGGCATGTTGGCTATTATCTGCTTGGCATTCTGGACCATGTCCTGAGGACCCAGCAGCAACACTGCAATATAAGAAGTGGGACAGTCTGTGGATCAGACTGAAATAGAAAAGCTCATTTAAAGGAGGAGTGATAATAGAAAATAAAATTACACCAAAAGCAATTCTGAAGTCTCCCAAACGCTGCCTATAGGACTCGTGGTGAATGTAAAGTCTAGCATAAACAAACTCCATACATTAAAGTTTGCAAAATACTGATAAAGCAAACCAACTTCATTTTAGTCCATAACAACTCCTCCTTTGAGACAGCAGGTTTGGGAGCTGAATATTAAATATTTAATAATACATAAAAAAACATTGTTTTCCTATAAATACAACATAAGAATGATCTCGTTTTGCCGATGCAAGAAAGTTCAGACTTCTCCAAGACTGTTGTTCGCTCATGTGAAATCCAACAGTACCAGCTGATAAGAACTTCCCCTGAAGTCTATATATGGGGCATAATGTAAAGACAACATGAATTCAAGCTCTGGTTTCTCTTCACAAGGTCTCCTAAATCCGCAGACACTTGTATTCTAATTTGTAGGTTCTAGTGACCACCCAAAACACAAAGAAAACTCAGTCCAAGCTGCTGATTCTTACTTGGTTTTGGCACCAAATTCATGTAAAGCCACAAATACCACTAAGTTTCAACATAAAACCAGAAACTTTCCCAGACCTCCTCGAAAGATTCACAGCTTTGTGATGAATGTGGGCTGGTGTCTGGGAAACCTTGATACCAGATGACTTCCGTGACTTTATGCTCTGCTTGAGACATCCAGAGCCCCATTATTTGAGAAATCAAGTTTCACCATGCAGTGCTGGAAGGACATTAGCGTTACCCTGCCCGGACTCACACCCTCATCCCTTACCAAGTCATGTCCTGTACATACTCACGTTTCCTCTGTTGATATAGACCGTGACTTGACCCTCATCTCTGATCTCAGAAAACATAGGTGCTCCGACCAGCAGGTCTGACAGCCCGTCAGAGTTCAGATCAACTGCACATAAGGAGGAGCCAAAGTAAGAGCCCATCTGTAACCAAGCCGAGTCACAACAAAGCGTTCAGTATCTGCCCACACACAGGAGGAAGTCATTTAGGCATTTGTGGGTTTTCTGTTGTTTTTTGTTTTGTTTTTTTTTCATTTCAAATAATGACTTGCTGCTTTATCACTAACAAGCACTCCTACACAGAAAGCTTAGGGGATAATTCTGGCAGGAATTAAACACTTTACTGTAACAGTGCATCAGCTTGGATGTTTTAACAACAGAACAAAATTTATACCCTGGGACATGGTTAAGAGAGACACTTAAAGAGCTTGCTTAGACTAGCTTTCACATGTCAAATGCTTAAAGCCAGGAAAGGGCAAAATAAGTTTCCCAGACCAAGACCTGGCTAGTGATTATTCATTCCCAGTGTCAGACTCCCTGAAGAGACCTGGAGTTGGGTACCACAGATCTGCTAGGGATACCTTAAAGAAATAAAGAAAAGAAAAAAGAAAAATAGGCCAGGGTTAGGGTATCCATGAAAAGAGGCATCTAAAATTACCTCTTGATGGTGGACTATCTTCCCCTGCTCTATTTGTATCTATTTGTATTGGTCACCTTCAAATAGCAGCACTGGTTGTGGGTTTTGATCATAGCCTTTCCCTTCATTTACAGGCAGGTGAGTTCACACAGAAAGACGACTTTCAATAAAAGCTTTTCAGTTGATACACAAAAAAACTAAGTCACTTTCCATCCCCCGTTATTACTGCTTGATCAAACTTAATTGCTGAAATTTAAGATATCAACTAATTTCATTACATAATTTTTGATAGAAGGTAACATTAAATGCTATCAATCTCCCAATGGGCACCCACATTATGAATTTCAAAACACATTTAAACACAGGATGGAAACCAAAAGCAAGAATGATATTTCACCCATATTTCATCCACTTCTGCTAAGGTACCACTAGGCATACACTCTTTAAGACCAATAGCTCTTTAAGACAAACCATAGCCTCAAAATTAAAAGCAACTTCCAGAGGAAAAATTAAAAGATACCACTTCTTATTTGAAATTGAGAGCTGTTTACATAGTAGGAAAAATTGAGGTTACAGAAACAATTATTTAGGCTTAAAAGAATTAATCACATTTCTCGCATGCTTTTACATTCCTCATTGCGGATCTCTGACCCACAGCCTTCCATGCCTGATGAGCTTAGATGCATGAGCCAGAGCTACTGGGCATGCTAGGAGATGGGCAGCAGCAACTCTATTTTATGCAGTCCGTAAGATTTAAAAGCTGCTAAATATACATAGTGGGGTGAGGTAAGGATAGAGTTTCAGTTTGCGATTCAGTTTTTTGTGTTTGTGTGGGTTTAAGGTTAGACCTCAAACATGATTTGATTCCAGTTATTTTGTAGCTTACGTTCCCTTGTGGATTTTTTGTTTATTTTTTTTTAATCCACTAAGGTTTTAAAACAAATTTCTCATGGGTAAGGAGCGAAAGTTATGAAAAGCATTTCACTATGTATTCGGGCAGTTTTCAGGGAAAGGCTATTATTTACTTAACTGCAACATGGTACAACTGCAGCGTGGGTGAGTTCACAGTGCTGTGAGAACCTGAAGTTTGTGCACTTAACATTTGTTACAAGGCACTGCATTTTCTTTTTTCTTGTCTGCATTTGATTTCCTAATTCAGCCTCCAGCAATAAAAAAGGGAAGGAAGAAACTGGCCTGCTTTTAACATCTGTCTAACAAGAATGTCAGAGCAATGAACTTTCACACCACTGGGAAGGACGCAGCATTTTGTGAGAGCTCATTTCCAGCTCATTGCTGAGCACGTCTGGTTATATTTCAATCACAAGCCAAAGAAAGGGTGATTTAGGACAGTCTTCTCTTTAAAATAAAATTCTCATTTGGATTTTAGAGAATTTGTAGAAGACAGATGCTAATGGGGAAGGAGGAGATGACAGCCTAGAAGTACTTGAAGGATGTAAATACTTAGTTAAGTTACATATAAGAATAACATAATTAAACTAGAAAAGGAAAGTTTTTTGGCTGAGACCTGGAAACTTCCTGATAGGTCTGTTTATTAGGCTGAGAAATACTTCTCCAGGAGCACATCCTTAGGGACATTTAAAAGTCAACAGGGAAAGAAATGAACAGGAAGCAATCAAACACAGGAGATGGCCTGGATGAACTGGGAGGTCTTTTCCTTTCAAGATGACCGCAATTCTGCTAGTGCAGGGAAAGAAAAATTTTGGAGAGGCCCTAAAATACAAGTCACACCATCCACCTACACATCCTTGCAGTTTTCCCCTATTCCAGGCATGTTTTTAAAGACTGCAACTGCATTTTGTTGGGAAAAAATAACAAAACGTGCCAATGCTCCCAACTTGATGATATAGTCAAACACTTTAGATCCTTCTGAGAGTGGCAGGTCTTCTTACAGCCAGAAGCCACCAGTAACCTTTTTATTCTGTATTTCCACTCCTTCCAGGAGAACGCAGGCAACCACAGGTAAGGGGTATCACTTCCTCACTACATTATTCCCAAATAAGACAACTTTTTGATGTTAAATTGGAAGTAAGTCTAACTATAGTTATTTCCCCTGCAACACAACTCCAGCAAGCCCACAGTGAAGAACACAGGCTGTTCCCCACTCAAACAAAACACCACATGGGGGGAGCTGGATCTCACTAGTATTCACTTAATTTTGGGGGGGGAACGACACAGTTCAGCTCTAAGACACCAGTCCTAAGAGCAAAATGCAGGGCTGATTCATGGTAGGAAAGGGGAAATCATCATTTCTTAGAGCAATGAAGCTGCTCCTCCACAAAAAAGCATATCTCCATATCCCCTCTGTCACATCCCCCCTGTCACAGCACAACACGGAAAAACAGACTGGGGCTTTGTGTATTAAACTAAGCTTCAGGCTACCCACATCTCCCAGCAACATCTACTAAGAGGAAATCTCGGTTCACCTGGCACCCCATATCCCACATCTTAGAAAGCGCTGCTACAGTTGCGTAAGGCTAAAGAGAACCACTAGTACAATTTTC